CCTTCTCCGGTAACCATAAGATTGTTTACTAAGTCTGCGAGTCTGTTTCTGTTTTGTAGATGAGTTCATAGTGTCCTTTTTTTTTTTTAATTCCACGTATGAGTGATATCATATGGTATTTTCTTTCTCTTTCTGGCTTACTTCACTTAGAATGACAATCTCTAGGTCCATCCATGTTGCTACAAATGGCATTATTTTATTCTTTTTATGGCAGGGTAGTATTCCATTGTATAAATATACCACATTATGGAAAACAGTATGGAAATCCCTCAAAAAACTAAAAATGGACTTACCACATAGTCCAGCAATCCCACTCCTGGGGATGTATCTGGAGGGAACTCTAATGCAAAAAGATACATGCACCCCAATGTTCATAGCAGCACTATATACAATAGCCAAGGCATAAAACTAAACTAAATGTCCATCAGCAGATAACTAGGTAAAGAAGTTGTGGTATAGTTATATACTTTTTAAACATTTTTTTGCTATTCACTATACTGTATCTTTTTTCTCTGAGATCCATTGGTTTTGTTTGTTTTGGTCTTTCTTCAGGTACTAGAGGCTGTCCTTAAATATCTAGTGTCTTTGTCCATTCATATTTGAGTGTGATTGGAAACTCTGTGTGCTTGGTGGCTTCTCTGTAGGGTGAAGTGCTAAAGTCTTGGCTGTTTTGCTAGGTTATACTCCATTGCCAATATAAATATTCCTTTCCTCCCCTGCATTGGGACTGTTCAGCTCTACCAGAGAAATATTCTCCAGCATCCTCCCTGGGAGTAGATGCTAGATTGAACACTCTGGGGCGGTGGGGTAGGTGAAGGTAACCGGGAGAGGCGTCTTACTGCTCCATTTGTAGGTTTTTCAGCTTGACCTCTGCTTTTAGTTCCTGACCTTATTCCACCTTCTCTTGTACCTGTGAGTTCCATGAGCTTGGAAACTATCTGGTTAATTTTCAACTGGGTAATTCTACCATCTATACTGAGTCACATGGCAACAGGGAGAGTGGAAGGTGATCTGGGGTTCTAATTACTCATTAGAAGCACTGTCACCCAGTACTGTTGATTTCACCCCCATTGTCATTCCTGCTTGTGTCTCCAGGGATCTCCAGTTCCTAACTCATGCTAGGTTTCTGCAGGGACAGACCTGCTTGCTTCCCCCAGGAGACTCCCTCTGCAGGCATCTTCATTTCCGCTTGTGCTCCGCCAAGTCTTTTGTTTGCTCATCCGATTCCCTCTCCTCAAATGACTCATCTCTCATCTCTTGAGTCTCCTTTCCCCTCTTTGGAATTTTGTATGATTTTATAGCCGTGTTCTCATTGTAGGTTTACTTAGGTTAGAGTAAAGTTAAATTCATGCATATTTTCAATTCAGTCTGTTTTTAAAATGCTGCCTTCTCTTGTTATCACCATAGAACAAGTTGGGAGACACAGCTTTGCACGCTGCTGCCTGGAAGGGTTATGCAGATATTGTCCAGTTGCTTCTGGCAAAAGGTAAAGTATGCCTAGTTTATCTGGCCTGTGCTTGCTCTGAAAAATAGGCTACATCCAGTTATGCCATTTGAAATAGTAGGGAAAATAATAGGTTTCTATTTTTAAAACTGGGACTTAGGTCTCTACTCTGAATCACAGAGTTGTTGAGATATGATGAAATAATTGAGGTGATTTGTATAAATTTTTAAATTAAAAACTTGATAAGCTTTAAAATTACATGTATTACTTTTAGGAAGAATTTATGGTATATTGCTGCAGGATTAAAGGGCCTTAGAAGAAAGGGGTGTGTGTGTCTGTATTTGTGCACACACATATAGAGAGGAGATCTAAGAAAGCCATATGGGTAAAGTTGCTGAGGCCACTGTTCTCACAGGAAAGTCTTGATAGGTAAGAACAAATGCGGTGGCTGCAATCTCCTGCTTTGAGCAGAGCAGATGTTAGATGTACAGAGAGTGGGAAGATACCTTGATTCCCTGTTTTTACACGTCAGAAGAAACAGTGAAATTATGGATTCCCTATCTATCCATCTACTTGTCCCACAAATACTAGTTAACCCTTACAGAGGGCCGGGGGATATCACCCTATACTGCACCCTGGACCAGAAGGCTTTATATCAGATGCTTGAGGCACCAAGCGGCGTGTCATATGGATGCGCTGCAGTTAGGGATCCTCGGACCAATGTGTGGAACGTATGAGAAGAAATGTTTTTGGTTTAAAGTATGTTGATATGTAAACTCCAGAGATAAAAGATCAGACACCCTGAGGATTACTATGGTGCCTCCAAAGGTGTGCCACGAGCTGTGCTGTTTATACGGCAGCCACTGACCCCGTGTGCTGCTGAGGCTCTGAAATAACGCTGGTCTGAACTGAGGTGTGCTCCAAGTGTAAAACAATCGCCAGATCTTGAAGACTTAGTGAAAAAAACAAGAAGCAAATGCGGCGACATGGATGGACCTAGAGATTATCATACTAAGTGTAGTGAGTCAGAGAAAGACAACTAACACATGCTATCACTTATATGTGGAACCTAAAAAAAATATAATACAAAGGAACTTATTTACAAAATGGAAACAGACTCACAGACATAGAAAACAAACTTATGGTCACCACAGTGGAAAACTGGGGGAGGGATACATTAGGAATTTGGGTTTAGGAAATGGTTGCATTCCTTCTCTAGTGTCCTGTCTTTGAACATTTCCCGTTCTGACAGAAAGCATATATATGAGTTCTCAAGTGTAATTTAAAGTAAGGTATGATTAGTCACAGAGCTATGAACCCTCAGGATCTTTGACCTGTAGCACAATGAGAGAATGAGGTTTTCCATATAACCCCAGCTGTAAATAGATCTACATCTGTTCACGGGAGATTTTCACACACGATCACTGTATTCCCAATTAAACATACTATTTTTGACTCAAGATTTTTGTGCCTTTGAGTCTTAGGACATCTATTTTTTGTTGAAGAGGATGTGGTTGCAGAGAAAATGGCACTCTATTACACTGTGGCAGAAAGTAAATTCGTAAGCCTTCTTGGAAGGCAATCTGACAGTAGCTAGTAAAGAGAAAATATACATAGCCTTACATTTTGGTACCACTTCTAGGAAACCACCCTTCAGAAATACATATAAACAAAGATGTTGTTCAAGGATGTTCATGGCACTATTGTTTGTGATAATGAAATTAGGAACTGACTAAGTGCCCCTCAATAGAGGAGGGATTAAGTAAAATGTGGAATGTCCACAGAGTGGAATACTTAAAAATGTTTAAATAGATTGACTTCTAAGTATATGTACTGCTCAAGAATGAATACCATTATATATTGTTAAGTTAAAAAAAAATCAAAACTAGTGGTTACCAATGGGGAGAAGGGAAAGGGGAGGGGCAAGATAGGGGTAGAGGATTAAGAGAGGCAAACTATGATTTATAAAATTGAGGGAGGGTAATAGCTCAGTCGTAAGGTGCATGCTTAGCATGCATGAGGTCCTGGGTTCTATCCCCAGTACCTCCATTAAAAAAAATTTTATACAGTGAGGGTGGGTATAGCTCAGTAAGGTCCTGGGTTCAATCCCCAGTCCCTCCATTAAAAAAAAATAGAATAAAATAATAAACAAACAAACAAACAAACAAACAAATAAATAAATAAAATAAAATAAATACTACAAGGATATATGGTACAACCCAGGCAATATAGCCAATATTTTAAAATAACTATTAGTGGATTGTAAAATTTAAAAATTACGAACCACTGTGTTGTACACCTCAAACTTATGTAATATTGTACATCACCTGTACCTCAATTAAAAAAAAAAAGAAAAAGAAAAATATCATTGGCAAAAAAAATCAAATTACAGACCACTGCTTGTAGTATGACTTCGTGTACATGTCCACGTGTGTCTGAATGCATTCGTGCACGTGAGGGAGATGGGAGCTGATACCCGCTTGTTGGGAGTCGTCGCCTCTGGGGAAGGTGGAAGATGGGGACAGAAAGGGTTAGCTGAGGGCTGAAATGAGATGTAAGCTTTTGTTCAGCATACTTTTGTAGTTTTGAATCTTTGACAGAACGTATTCATGAATCCTGATGTAATTTATATCACAGTAAAGAGGGAAAAAGCGAGTAGAAGGTGGGCTACGGGAACAATGGATTGCTTCTAGATTTTAGTGTTACTGTTCTGTTAATATGCATGGGAACATACATAAGACACAAAGTATTAATTCCCTCAAGCTCAACTCACATGATCTTTTCTAGAGACCTTCTTGAACAGAAGAGGCAAAGGGTAAATTGAATTTAATCTCCAAAAAACTCATGCCAAGGCACACTGAGTCTAACTGATTGAGGGTCTTACCGCAGGGTCAGTACACTCCTCATTGGAAAGTGTGTGTGCAATTCTACAGGGACTTGAAAGGCTATGTTTTAATTGTGTTTGATTATCACAGGTGCAGCAACGAGCTCCCTGGTGAAAGATGCCAAATATGCAATTGCTGAGAAAGCTTTACTGTTTGGAAAGAGCTTATTACTTAAAGGCCAGAATGGTTCTCTGGTTTTGCCAAAAGCGATTAGTTTTGATGGAAAGAGAATTGGCAGCTGTGTAATTAACACTGCTGTTTGTGGTATAAGAAAGCTGTTTAGAGAGTAAGTCCTAAGAGTTTGCATCACAAGGAAAACATTTTTTCTGTTCTTTTAATTTTGTATCTATATGGAATGATGAATGTTCACTAAACATTGTCATAATCATTTTATGATGTTTTTAAGTCAGATCATTATGCCGTATACCTTAAATTTATACAGTGCTGTTTGCCAATTATATCTCAATAAAATGGGAAGAAAAGAAAGTGAAAGTAAACCAAAAAGAGCATTGACTGCTACTATAGAGTCTTCAAAACGCCAAATTAACTTTTCTTGTGTTGGGGAAGGTGCTAGAACAGACTTAAGAAACAACGAGAAGAAACTGGCCCTGGACATGGCTACGAATGCTGCCTGTGCATCTCTCCTGAAAAAGAAACAGGGAACAGGTACTTAGTTTTAATCCTTCTTCCTCCTGGTGCCATCATGACTAAGATACATTCATTTAATATTGGAGAATACTTTTTCTTGGTAAACTCTTTGGGTGATTCTGAACTTAGATTTTATATCTTTGGTCTGAATCAGAACTTCCAACATGGAAGAATATCTTTATGCAAATGAATTTGAAGAGGCATCGATTTTTTGCTATGATTAGTGTGTTTCTTTTGTTCCTTGCAATCAAGTTCTAATTACCTTATTTTCCATTACTGTCCTTACCAGAGAGCCATTGTTTCCATATCCTCACTTCAAATATGTTTTTGTGAGTGGTTGTCTCTAAATATTCTTAAAATTAAGCCCTCAACAGCTTTCTGATTATACTTTGTTTCTGTTTTAAATGAGGGTATCAATAAACTGTAATCAAAGTTATTCTAGACTTTGTAAACATACCGATATCTATTTACCTTCTAGGGTGGTTTTTAAAGATAAAGTGTACGTTTTTAGATATAATATCTATTGACATGGGAAAATAGTTTGAAAAGTTCACATGTGATTCTGTACAAGTGAAATTTGGTGGTTTTGAAAAGGTGTTAAGGGAAAGAAAAGGTGCTAAATGCATTTGCATCATTCATGATTACTATTCAGAGACTGGCTGTTAATTTGACTTCTCAGTACTTAGCTTGTTGAATGTGTTCCCCCAGATTCATTCTAATATGGTGATTCCTGAAAGGAGTGCTGGGACGGGGAAAATGTGCTTTGAACTCCTCTTTCCATCCACCTCTCCTTTGTCCCCTTTTCATTCATCATCAGCCTCCCATCCCGTGAGAAACCCAGAGGGGTAGGAAAAAAGAAAGGTAGAAGGTGATTTGGTTGGAGGGAACATTCAATCTCTTTTTTCTCATTTCTCCAGCCTTACTCTACTTTATCATCTCATGTTTGGCACTTTAATACCACTTTGAAGGATAAGCCTGTAATGGATACATGCTTACTACCATTTTCTACAAAGAAACTGGTATGAGGAGGACTCACCTTTTTGCAGGTCTTTGCATTGCTACTCATCATTCCGGGCTTTTTCAGTATTGCCTTGAAGTCTCAGGTTTAGACTGATCCATGTTGGTGGAGAATCACTGAAATAGCTTTTTAGCAACTTCCATTATAGAGGCTAAGTGCATGTGTTTTCATTTTATCCTTAGGGTATTCAGAGTTGTCAAACTTGGGTAATGAGATACTAATTTCTGTTTTTATCATTTCAATTGAATTCTCATTCATTTTTAAACCCTTGGAAAACTTATTTCTCCCTCAGGTATCCTTTGATTTATGAGAAGAGGCAATATTATGCTGTCCCACATTCCGTATATCAGAAGCCACAAAACACAGTCAGTCCCCTAGTGTCCTTCTTCTGTCAATCAAACACAGCAAACAGTCCCCCTGTCTTCAGGGAAGCTCTGTCCAGGGAGCTTCACAGAATCATCCTCCTTACCTATCATCAAATTCCCATCATAGTCCTCCTCGCAAACCCAGTGTCCCTTTTGTCCTTTATTTCAGATAAGTGTTTGTTCCAGATTCTTACTTAACTTCTGTTCTGGTGTAATGAAAACTATTAAGCAGTCTAGGATTTCTTAACTATTTAAGCCATGAATGTTCGCTGACAGAGCCACTCTTTCTTTAAAGTAATTACTAATGCATAGATGAATATAGAGTGAGTGGGAAAGTGTTTGCCAGCTCAGTGGTGCTCTCAGCTACACTTGGACTGAGAAGCCGTATTCATAACCATGTGGGAGGATCCTCTTACTTGAGGTGGACCTTGGTTGGGTGAGGAGTAGGACTGTGGCCTCACTTCCTTTCTCTGCCGCTGACTTCCTGTTGCTACGTGGGTGTCTCCAAAATGTCCTGAGTGAGGAGGAGTGAGGTTTCCTGTGAGCTAAACATTATCAGAGCCTCATGTACACTGTGAGTTGGCTTGTGATAGGCAAGGAAAATATCACACCTGCTCACACTCCAGGGAGCGACACCCAGAAGCCTCCCCATGAATAATTGGAGCTGGAAGAGGCAGGTGGCAAACTTTTCTCTTTTTCTCCTTACTTTTCCACAGTCTTTGTAGAAAACGGCTGACAAGTAGGTGGTCTTTTTCTCTGTTCCCTCCAAATGTCTGTAGTCTACCTTCCTAAATGTGTACTGTACTGAATTCATTAATGAGGTAATCTTGGGGTCTGGCACAAAGAGCCAAGAAATGCATTTTCATATTTCAATTTTCATGTTACCTTTTTCTCTTTTTTTTCCTTACTTCATTCCCCCAATCATCCAGTAAAACATTTCTTTTTAATTTGTATTTTGATCCTAGTTGGAATGTGAATATTGGGCCAGAGCTAATTGCCAGCATGAATGCTAAACTAGAAAGGGTATATTCTGATATTGTTGTCCACTTTTGAAAGCACATCTTGAGTTTCTTGTAGGGACAAAGTAATTTACATGTTACAGTTACCTTGCTGGGTAACTTTAGGATATAGGGATGGAGTCAGGTCATACTTGGGGATTGAGCCTTTAAATGTGTTTTCCAGTTTTTAAAAACTGGAGTATAATTTATATTAAGTAAAGGACATAAATCCTAAGTCTACAGCTTGATAAATTTTTTTTAAACTGTGCTTACACAATTAACCACAACCCAGGTCAAGACAGAGGACACTTCCCACACCCCAGAAGCCTCCCTCAGTATCCTCTGCTTCTCTCACCGTAGATTAATTTTGCCTGTTTTCAAACTTGACATAAATGAAATCAAACAGTATGTGCTTTTGGGTGTCTAGCTTCTTTCATGTAACTTGTCTGTGAGATTCATCCATGTTACTGTGTTTGTCCTTCCACCATTTATTTGTCTGTCCATCTGTCTTAAGTTCTGGTGCTTAATTTGGGACTTGTAAATCCAGGGCAGTGAGATTGAGACAACAATGGAAGTGAGTTGGGGGAGGCTGGGAGGCAGTGCTAGGAGATACATTACCACGATAGTCATGCCCTCAAGACATGCTATGAAGGTTCAGCTCATCACTCAGCTCTGGGCCATATGAGAAGTTTCCAGAGAAGCTGTGCCTCAGAGCAGTCCATGAAAGGAAGGAAGGAGAAGGAGTTTATTTTCCTGGCTATCTCTTGCTTTCCATTCGGTCAGAGTTTGCACCATGGGAAGTCATTTTTCCCTTGCTAACAGGAGAAATGAGATTAAAGCGAAGAGCTGCAGTTACCGTTGAAGGACAAAGAATACCTCCAGTGTCGCAAAACACAGGATTGTCTAGCAGAGTAGAAAGGGGAGGAGCTTTGCTGTTTGTCTTTTTGTCTTTTGCTTTTTAAAAAACTTTTACCAAGTTCATGGCCAGTCCTGAAGTTCATGAGTATGTGTGGGATAAAACAAAATACCTCCCTTCCAGGTCTCCAGAACTCCTCTTAAGGAGAATGGAGAAGAGCATAGTCAGCCTGGAGACGTCTAGCAGTTTGGAAGCTGGTGTGAAATCACTGACGCGTGCCTCTGTTCTGCTCACATCTACGTGTTCTGCTTTTCCTTCTCTCTCGTATAAGATGAATCGGTTTCTTCCTCCCATGTATTGACTCTCCCTTGTCCCTTCTTTTTTCTCAATAATAATTTCCCTAAACCCATAAAGATTCTTAAAAAAAACTACAATATCATTAACCTACCTCAAATTAATAATAAGCCCTTTATATCATCAAGAGTCTTGTGATGGTGCAAATTTGCCATTTTCTCTTCCATGTTTGTTTGCTTATTCATTGCTTACTTGTTTATCTATCAATTTATTTACGGTTTGTTTAAGTAGGATCCAAATTGATAGATATATCTCTTGTTTTTTTTTCCAATTAATATTTCCGTTCCTTCTCCTCTTCTTCATTGTTTAACCTTGCAATTTACTTGCAAAAGAAACTGAGCCAATTTACCTGAATTTCCCAGTCTAGACATGGCATGTGTACATTCCCATGGTGATGTTATGTTCCTCTGTTCTTGATATGTTTGTTAATCAGTGTTACTCTAGAGGCTTGACTGGATTTAGATTTTATTTATCTACCTATCTTAGGGATAGAGGGAAGAATACTTCGTAAAGAAAGTTGTGTTCTTCCATCAGAGGCATGTAATATCTGTCACTCGCCCTGTAATGTTAGCATCCATTGATGATCATTGTCTAGATTCATTATTTCATTCATGGCTGCAAAATAGTGATAGTCTGATTTTGTCACTCCTTTCTCAGTTAGTATTTGGAACATTCTATAATGAAAAATTTCCCCCTCGCCTTGTCAGATGGTTACTCAGAGGAATAGTCTGTATAGCAGGGGCAGAATAAAGACTTGATTTTTGCCCTTTATTTAAGAGTTTTCAAAATAACATACTGGTTCCTATTATTTTCCAAAGGGGACCAACGAATTCTCTTTGGTGTGTGTTGAAATATTTTCTGTGTTTAATCCAATGTAGTTAATTTCCGTGCTGATAGCCTATCTTTGGCTAGTGGAGGCCTCTTCTGGTTGGATCCTGAGCCCTTCTGAAATGATGCTATCTTTGATAGGATCCTTGTTTTACAGTATAAGAGGTTTCAGGTACGTCTTTTATAGTTTCTGCACAAGACTTGGAATCAGTCCTGTCTCCAAAGAGCATGGATTTAGAGACAGTGATATGGGTGTTAATAACACATGAATTGAGCTCTAACAATGTGCTTCTACTTGCATTTCAGTTTTCCCCTTGACAAGTTACACCTCGTGTAACCTGTGGCTACAGGAATTTGACTAGGCAGTTTGAAGTTGACTGGACAGGTGAACAGTTAAAGAGCAGACATCTTCCTTTTGAGCCTTGGGCAGGGTTGACTTAACATTTGCTGAGATCTAGCTTTTTCTATTTTAAGACTTTTATTTATTTTTTATTTCAATTTCTTTGGCTTCTGAGTAGGCTTCGTTTATCAGTGTTTTTGAAAATGAAACTGTAGCTTGTGTGTTTTCATTCTTCCTTTTCCTTTCTCCCCCCTCACTAGTCATCTTTCTACCCAGGGACCTTGCCTTCAGGTCGACTGACTGAAGCCATCTGTGCACTTGTCATTGGGAGAGGAGGCTGGAAGCACAGTTGTCAGAGTGGACAGGCTTCTGCTGTGTTCCACGAGGGTCGTGGTGCGCGTGGCTGGTCGTATCTGGCGTGAGAGGGACTCATCAGCACCATGTGCTTTACTTCCCTACACATCTGAGTCGCACGCAGACAAACTTACTTGTCAGCCTCTGGCAGCAGAAACTGATCAGTTAGGCTGGAAAGCAAAAGTAGAAAAAGGTGCTCAGGGAAACTACAGGCCCCAGGTCTGAGGGAAAATTCCAGTTTGTTGAATTGTCAGGAGCTTTGAAAGTGAAAACAAAACCCAAGCTATTTGTAATTCCTCTGTTTTGCTTTTTCCCTGTTCCTTTTAGATGCAGTTCGAACGTTAAGCAATGCCGAGGACTATCTTGATGATGAAGACTCAGATTAATTCCCCCTGGAGCTTTGAGATCTAAAACTTCTGTTGCTTTTGCCATTTCGAAACCTTGTCTTTGCCAGAAGAGTGTTGGTAACTGTTTAAAAAAAAAAGTCTATATGAACACGGCAGTATTGCACGGTGTTTGAGCAGAGTGTGTAAATGAATAGTTCTCACCTTCAGTTTGCCAATAAGTGACTGGATATTCTGCTGTATAAAGTACATTTCTGTTCACCAGAATAGAACAAGAAGATATTATTTCTATTTATCAAGCTTAAAGGAATTTTAAGAATTTTTTTCTTTAAAAATATCAGGATTTCTTTTATAGTTAAAGTTCTTTACCTCAAGGATTGAGATATTTTGGGTGGACTTTTCAAGTGGGGAATGCTTATTATAATAATAAACCAAAAGACTTCACAGAAAATCGTCAGCTCTGCTGACAAAAATAAAATTTTAAGAGGCTATTTCTTTTGTCTGTTTTGTGCTATCACTCTTTGCTGGTGAATAAATAAAGCTTTTTTATATTTATATTTAGGCAAAGACTAATATGATTTTTTAAAAATTATATTTTGTATTATTAGCACGGAAGAAGCATAGTAGCCAAATTTCTGTTCAGCTTTCTATCTCTACTTCAGTTAACGTCAAGACAACAATCACTAAGAAGATACATTCCCAATAAAATATATTAACTTTAATAATTATGAGACTTTCAGTTTTATCTCCAGTGTTGTACTTAATGTGAAGAAACCCAGCAACTCATTAGTTTACTTAAGGTGTGAAAGATTTAAACAGCTGATTTCCTTATTGCGGGAGATGCCATAGTTTTCTGTAACGGAGTAGCCAGGAGCCATAAACTTTTTTCCACGTTCAGTTTTTCAATTTGGTAACATATATTTTCTCTAAGCATGGCTGTCACTCATGATCTGGATTCCTCTTCTAAAACATCCGTGAAACATTGCAGGGAGCCTTCTGTACCACTGAAGTGACACTTCATTTGAGATTCTAATTTTTTATTACTACAGTGATGATATTAAACATGACTTGGCTTTCTAAGATTATGTAACTATTCGTTTATTTTATTCCAGTAATTTTATTGTGTATTATTTCAATTTTTAATAGCTAAAACTTTGATCCACCTGAAAATTGTATGGTGCATGAAATGAGGTAAGAATCTACATTTTTAATAAAATTGTTAAAAAAAAATGACTTGTGGGCCCCAGGCCCACAAGTATATTTTGCAAGAAGACTTTGATGCTAATTTCAAAAAACACATTGGTGAAGAGAAGGAAATTTCTGAAAAGGAAGTGGGTTAGCTCAGGAAATGAATAACTGCCTCTAGAGGAGTTTCTTCTGTCTGTGACTTTGGTTTTTCTCTCCGTGGGTGCTTTGAGAAAGGACACCCTGAGAAACCTGTTTGGGGTCTATCCAATAGCCCAATCAATTTTTGTAGAAAGACTTCTATACAAGTCGTGACAGCAAAAGATGAGCACAAAATCTGAAATAAGTAAAAAAGGGTGTATTTTATTTTCAAAACAAATATGTCATTAAATTTGGATGAATTTATATTTCTTTGTAAGCATAAACTTGAAGATATGAAATTCTTGTTGAAATTCTATTCCCACAGAACCTTTTAAGGATTTGTTTTTTCCAAATGGGGTTTGTGCCCTAATAAAAAGCTTTTGGAAATCTCTTAACTTTTTGCTTTTGTGTACTTTGGGCCTGGGGTAATCAGGATAGATGCCAACTAAGCATTCTTTAACTTTTTTTTTAACATTAGTAGAGATAATACAGTTTGTAAGAATATAGATAATTTTTATGAAAATACTATGTGCTTGATGTAGAGTTACAATGTATTTGAGAGAAAGAATAATGGGGGCTTTGCTGTCATTGCTTTTAACATTATCAAACCTATGAGAATTCTAGAAAGTTGGCCAACTATATATGGGGGTTTTTGCAGGGGGAGGGGCAGTGGAGGGCAGACTTAGGTATATGCCTGATTTATTTTGGTTGAAACAGCACAACACATTTAGCTGTGGTTGAAACTCCATGGGAAAATTTACTTTGCTTCTTGTTTATTCAGTCTAGCTTATCTGAGCTTTCTCAGAGATGGTTTAATGCTGAACTCAGCAACAAAATTCAGTTCTAGGGACTTGCCACCACTCTGACTCTGCGCAGAGGAGGGCTCTGATTATATTCTAGAAATGACTTTGGAGGCTTTGCTGTAACCTGAGCTTTCCGACAGTCACTGTGGTCTGAACTCTTTCCCAGCCATTGCATCCTTTACATAGAAAATGTCTTCCAGCCCCTTGGGCAGCGAGATAACGTGTCCAATAATAAGCCCAGTAACCTTATGCAAAGGACAGTTTTTATCATAGTTTCCCATTTTAGTTTCTTTCTAGGACTGGTCTGTTGCAAATTATTTGTTGTTGGACTGTCATGCATCACAGTTGCCAGTTTTCTGTGTTTCTTCAGTGAGCCCCCTCATTGGCTGCTTTTTAAAAATGGAATTGGCCATGTTGGACCCAAAGGGAAATGGAGAGCAGAGCAATGGTGACCCTATTTTTTCAATCTAAAAAGCAAACTGGAAATAATGCAGAAAATGAAATCTGAGATAATTTTAGGCAGAGGAAAGTAAAATGTTTTCATATAGACTGTCTTCATAAATGTTCTTTATTGTGTAGAATTTCTGATTTACTGGTATTTCTTCTTCTGTGAACCATGTATTTCTCATCTTATCTTTGTAAACGATAATTTCTGAGAGGCTTCAATGAGCCTAACATTTACATCTGATCATCAGCATTTCCCTGTTGACCCTGACTTTGTGTTTGTTCTCCTGAATTTTATGTTGTAAATATGTATGTAGCAGTAATATCCAGACAGCCATACATCATGCATCTGAACATCAAAGTGTCTGATTACTAAAAGTTGAGGTCTTGGTGGGAGAAGTATTGCAAAAGATTCTGCTCTCCATATTTTAACTGAAAATATAGCTTTGGTAAACAGTTTTCTTAAGTGAAGGAAAAATTGCAGACCACAAATTTATGGTTTCTGTCTCCTTATTTCTTAATAACAAACCTTTACATTCCTCCTCCCTTAAAATGACATAAAATTAAATAAAACAACCATTTATTAAATGCCTGCTCTGCCAATTCCTGTGCTAGGCAGTTTCATAGATGTGATGTCATTTGAACTTTACAGTAACCCTGGGCAGCGAACATTAATGCCCCTGTCTTTTCACTGAGAAGCTGAGGTTTTAAGCAGTTAAGTAACTGTCTCAAGATCACACTGCTTGAAGGTAGAAATGCAGGTCTGGCTGACTCCTGAGCCCATGCACCTGCTGCCTGCTGCAGCTGGCAGGTGACGCTATTCGCAGTTCTGCCCGTAGCCCTCAGTTTGTCATTTCTGAGCCCTGTGATATTGGCCAGGCCCCTTGGGCCCCCTGATGCACCTGTAATGAGGATCAGGTTACATTGGCTCCTTGTGTGAAGGCAGGTGTCATTGCTGCATCAATTTTTCAGAGGACCTCGATCACAGATCTAATTTTTGAGAACCTCACCTTACAGCATGACTCGTGGTTGCTGTGTCAGTTTTCCAGCATGTAATACCCCTTATCTGCAGCAGGACACATGAAGAACCCCTGTGCTTAATCTCAGAACTGGATCTCAGGATGAAAGGGCACTTGGAGGTCTTCTACTTTGACCCAGCTGAGTATGAGTGTGGTGTGGTGTAGTGGGAGCTTTTTACCATATCTTTAGATCTGCATTCGTCAGTGCTGGAGGGGATGGCTTTTCTATGAGTCATGCGATTTTCACATTTTTAACTGTTTGGTTACCAGATACTGTATCAACGTTGTGAATGCCTTTCTTCTCCCTCTTAAAGTTAGAAATTGTGCCTTTTCTCTCTCTGTCTCTATTTTTTCATTATTAGTTAGCAATGGTTTCTTCTGTACTGTTACGTGAATTCTTTTACTGCTACTACTATCACTATTACTAGTGCTGCTGCCACGTCTAATCATTTAGCATTTATTCCCCTCTAGGAAATTTGCTTTTATAGAGAATTGTTCTTAGATTGTGTCCTTGATCAGTCCTCAGATGTTGTTTATTTAGTCCAAAGCCCAGCCCCTCTCCACTTTTAATAGACAGAGCTTGGGGACCAGAAATGACTTCTTAGTAGAAACAGCATATTAAAAAGCTAATCACCAATGAGGAACCAGATGCAGAAGATTTGAAATATCTGCTGTGGGTGTTTCCTTCTAGATCATATTGCTGTGTGAGAGATTGTTTTCCTACTGTGAGCATTTTTTTCTTTAGTGGATTTTCCAAGTTCCTTATTTTCAGCTCTGCCTCTCCACCCTCTTTTCTTTTTCTCCAGCTACATTTTAGCCACACACAGGGGGAAAGGGAAGGATCTGATCCAATCAAGTAATTTTCTTTTTTACTTCTATCTCCTGATGAAAGGTTAATATGGGAAGAAGTTGAGAGATGCTAGCCAAAGTGAAATTTGAAACAGTTGAGTTTGTTACCTGTGTTTTGGGGCTGGCCCCTGTTACCTATCCTAGTTGAAAAGGAGTTGAAACTCTTGTGTCCTAATTTTTATGGTGTCTGAGTTACTGCAATAACAAGATGACTCAATTCCATAGAGTCTGTCCCGTCGCAAAATATCAGTGTTGACCATGCTTTCTGTTTGATCTGTCAGCAATGAATACTGCTGGATATTCAGCAAATATTGATGAACATCCTTGTGTTTATCATGCTTCCTTTTAAAGTTGAAGAATAATAGCTAAATATGTTGAATGGTTTTACTTAATACTTGTCCAACAGCACTGTTACTTAAACCTACTGAGGAATCCTAAGAATGAAACCATGGTAAATAGTTAAATGTTTGTGCCTGTTAACGTTTTCCTTTGAGCCAAGGGCCCAGTAAACTTTTTAATGACTTCAAGTGAGTAAGAATAAAAGGCCAGTTTCACTTTTTCAGTTTTTATTGATGTGCCTTGCTTATTTTAATGGCTTGCATAAATTTTTATTGCTGTGTTAGTAATGATTTCCTGTAAATTCATACAAATAGGAAAAAAACCTCATGTTGCATTCAATTGTGGTTTCGTACTAAAACCGTAACAATATACATCCAGTACTATTAAATTGTCCTTTTTACTGCAAGTTGTATAACACACTTTATTCTCTACATGTCATTTTTATTTCTGTTTCAACATAATTTCTTTATTGTGAGAAAAGCCACCAATATTCATTTTTAAAGAATACTTCAATTATATGTTACTTTCTTGTTCCTTATGTTGTAAAATCCATGAAATGCTTTCCTCATCTCCACACAAATAGAAAGTTTTTAACTGTGATTGGAGGGATTGTCTATTCTTTGATCTTTTAAAAAACTTAGATTGCTCATGCTGTTGCTTAACATACTTTTAAGTTTTTACTTAAAGTTGGGATGGCCTGTTCTCAAATATTGTTTTACTGCCCTGTATATATTTTTTTAAGAAAGAGAAATTGGTTTCATTTATAAATATTGATTAAAGCAAACTATTATTTAAATGTAATTGTTGGATAATAATACAGTTATCACTATGTACATTTCGTCCTTTTAGAACTTTGCAGGTTCTAAAGAAACCTGTATTTGTTTTCTCTTCCCTGTTCCTTTATCCCTTGCATCCAGTTTACAACCCAGTCCTGTCAATCCTAACTCCATAGTGATGTCTCTCAAATCTGTGCGTTCCTTTCCATTTCCACAACTACTGCCTGGATTCTCTAGGGGGAGTTCGTATCCCTGTTTTGGAGGTACCATCTGAGTAGAGGTTGCTGGTAAGTTAAGTAAGCTGGGAAGGCATGTTCTTGGAGATCTGAGGGCAAACTGCAGGTAAAAGACAGCATAATTAGGAAGAGCCAAAGTTGCAGCAAAGAAGATGAAAATGTGTCCCATGTTTATAAGTGAGGCAAGAAACTCAGTTGGTGGGAATAAAATGAAGATGTGGACCAGGCTAACCTACATGGTCTCCAGGGCACCTTTACTGGGAAGGCTTGCTGTGCTGGATGGCCAGCACCTCAGTCCAAGCTCTCCCCAAATTCCTTATCATCTAACTAAGCAGAGTTCTGCCCTCAGGCACTTTATGTTGCATTCCTCCCTGCACACTATTGACATGATTATCTAAATGACCTTTTTCCACAGGGAATGATCATCTGCCTTTTCTTGCTTTTCAAATGGAAATCCAAGGCAACCTCTGCTCTGAAGCATTTTCTGTTTAGTTAAGCTGGAAAGGTTTTCTCCCTTAATTTCCTGTAACATTTGCTCTTTTTACTTTTCAATTATCATATATCAAATATTTTTGTGCCATAGTTACTTTGTGTTTACATTCACTCTGTATCTCATTGAGCTCATTGCTTTGACCTCATGTAACATAGTACCTGAAGTAAGTGCGTAAAAAAAATGTTATACTATAAAATTGACTTACCCTTCCCTTTTCATTGTAAAATTCTATAAATTTTAACACATGTATATATTTGTGTAACCACCACCATAATCAGGATACAGAACAGTTCTGTCACCCCGAATAACATTCTGTGCTGTGCCTTTATAGTCATGCTCTCCCCCTACTCCATCCCATCTATTACTCCATTTACTATCAATTCCTCCACCTACTGGTAATTACTGATCTGTTCTTCATCCAAGTATGTCTTTTCCA